GGAGGAGGAGGAGGAGGAGGAGGAGGAGGAGGAGGAAAAAGGCTTTGAATTTTTTCTTTCTTTTTCCTGAAGTGCAAATCAGCTTGGGACACCTGAGCCTGCTATGCCAACTGAACTCTCCCACATGGTGAGAATGCATGCCATCTCTGATTTTCCCTCCTCGTTGACAGCACGGCTTCTCCACAAGGGTCCAGAGTACCTTCGCAAGCAGATGGAGGCAGCCAACCCTAGCAGGAAGAGCGCCGTGGAAAGGTTGGCAGCAGATAAGGCCAAGTACGTGAAAAGCCAGCAAGTCATCGGCAGGAAGCAGGTGCCGGCTGTCACCCTCAGCTCAACTTCTGAGAGTAGCAGCGAGACTTGCTCAGTGGAAAGCAAGAAGGTTGAGCTCTCAAGAGAGAAGAAGGACACAGCAGCCCAAGTTCCCACGGCCACTGAGCTGAGTTCGGTAGCCCTGCAAGGCGGCCCTCCCATTGTGAAGCGCAACAGTGGTAAAAGGCAGATCCGACCAGACTCCTTGGTGATCTATCGTCAGAAATGTGAGTTTGTCAGAGGTCAAAGCCAGGAGAACACTCGTGGGAATTTGGTCCGGAGGTTGTTCCAGGGATCCTTCAAGGAAAAGCAGCTGATTTCTGAGGTGTCCAAAATTGTTCTCAAGGAGGAAACCATTCCTGAAGTGGAAGGGACTATTTTAGGCAAAGACACAAGACATAGCTATGATCTAGAAGGACAGAATTCACCCACAAAGGCAAACCCAACTCCCTTTCTGGTCAGCAGATGCAAAAATGCCCTAAATGTGACTTCAACACCTTATGACGTAAAGGAGATGAGACAGAAAGGTCTTCAGAGATCTCAGTCAGATATCAGTTCGCGATATTCAAAATCCTTCTCTGAATTTGACACTTTCTTTAAGAACTGTGGCCTTGAACCTGAAGTAATAAAAGATTTAGGCCAAGAGAATTTTTCGGTAACTTCAGACAACTTCTCATTCCACCGCCACAGCATCAGCGGGGCAGCTTCTGAAAGTGACTTCACGAGACACAGCGATGAAGATGGACTCCTGGAGGAAGAGCTCACGGAACAGGCACCTAGTGGCACCTCTGTGGTTGAACGCAATGCTCGGATAATCAAGTGGCTGTACATGTGCAAGAAAGCCAAAGAGGCTAATGTGATGATGCAGAACTTGGCATAAGTAAGGACTGCTTTCTTTACAGAGACACCCAGGTCAGTGTAACATGAATGCATGTGCAAAGTGTATCCGTGCACCTTTGATATTACCGTGCATAGCTATGAATAGAATAGAATAGAATAGAATAGAATAGAATAGAATAGAATAGAATAGAATAGAATAGAATAGAATAGAATAGAATAGAATAGAATACTTTATTGGCCAAGTGTGATTGGACACACAAGGAATTTGTCTTGGTGTAAATACTCTCAGTATACATAAAAGAAAAGATAAAAGGAAACAGTCACTATAAATCGTAAGTATACAAGCGACAAAGTTACAGTTGGACAGTCACAAGTGGGAGGGGATGGGTGATAAGGAGTGATGACAAGATTAACAGTAGTGCAGACTTTGTAATAGTTGAACAGGGTTGAGGGAATTATTTGTTTAGCAGAGTGATGGCTTTTGGGAAAAAACTGTTCTTGCATCTAGTTGTTCTGGTGTGCAATGCTCTATAGCATTGTTTTGAGGGAAGGAGTTGAAACAGTTTATGTCCGGGATGTGAGGGGTCTGTAAATATTTTCACAGCCCTCTTTTTGACTTGTGCAGTATACAGGTCCTCAATTGAAGGCAGGTGGGTAGTAAATGAATAAACAGAATAAGATTCTCTCCTCATTAGCTCTCCAACACCATGGAGTAAGGGATGGGGAAACCTACAATTTGTCTTTAATATATAACAATATTTAATATATAAAGAATTATGGGCATAACATATGGTACCAGTGTTGCTAATTCTTCCACTTGGGCCTTCCGTAATTTTACAATGGTGAATGATTCCAGAAATTTACAGCTGGTTATTGTTTCTTTTATGAAATAGTCCAGTGTTTGAGCTAGCTTTTAGAAAGTAATGGACTTTGCTAAGGAGAAATGAGAACCACCAACTAAATTTAAAGTCAATATTTACACACGTCGTGTCTGCCCCCTGACTGGCAAACAGCTTATTTACAGCAGGCTGGGCCATAACAAAAACCCTAGCCATTTGCTCAAGCCTTCATTTTATTTAATTAAGATAAACTGGCACACACTTTGTCCTTTGCAGCATGAGAGCTGTCAACTTCGTTGTCCCTCTACTTACCTTTTTCTTATTTATTCCCTTTTAAGTTACAGTGGGGGGAAAAACATTTGTGGGACTTTTCCTCACTTTATTTCATTTGATATTAACAAGTGATAAACCTTCCTCTGATGTCACAACATAACAGGTTGTGCAGTTATTTCTTGGCATTTCTCTTTTTTCCATTCTTATTGAGGAGTGAGTAGGACATCTCTTGCTGCTTGGTTGCATTTATTGCTTTTCGCCTCAACTTGACTCAAGTTGGTTCATGACTGCACTGGTGCCAAAAGGAAGGCTTAAATATTAGGGCTACAAATTTTCTTCAGGGTTGTTGCTTCAGCTGGTGCCCCAATAAATCTAAAAGGACTGATTCCCAGTCAAACAGGAAATGAACAGTATGATGTAGTGCAGTCTTGGGCACAGTTTCATAGGAAATAGGATACAGTGCATTAATAGGATTTACTTTTCACCAAATATACTTAGCATTTGGACTTTGCAATTAGCATTTGGACTTTGCAAGGGCTTTTTTAAAAAGCACTTACTGAAAAGTGGTGTAGGAGTTAGAAATTCCATTCACAAACTCGGACCTTTGGTATACTGTACTGATTTGGCAATTGCTCTGTCCTTCACTTGAACTTTAAGCACTGGCCCAGGATTTGACAACTGGTACATCAAGGCAAAAAAATCAAGCAGTTTCAATCAGTCATAACAGGTCAATGATCACAAATATTAGTTAGAATCCCTTGTGCAATTGAAATAAATGAAAATTAAGATGTTTATAGTCCATGAAGGAAATGTGCTATTGTGCATGGGATGCTTTGCATGGGTTGTGACTACCCTAAGTGCTCATGGCTGTCCCAAATGCAGTCATCGAATGTTGATACTTACCACTTCAGCAGCGGTATTTCTGGTTAAACATACTGAGATTAAATAAGTTAGTTTACCAAATAAACTTACAAAGTAAGGGACATCAGTTAGCATCTTTTGGCCAAGAGAGACCAATCAGTTGATGCGCCCTTGAGCCACAGCTAATTTAGCCATAACAATCTGTTTAGATGCTAAGCACATCATAAAATACAATACAAGCAAACATATAGTTATGTAAAATAGTGAGATAAGTGTATTGTACATTATAAGCAACAAAGCCCTACCTAAATCTTCGGAAGGGCAACTGTCTTGGTCAGGATCACTGTGAGATAACATGTTACTCAAAGCAAGTCTCAGATGGCATTTCCTCTGGAAACTGACCAAGCAATGTTGGCATGAAGCAGAAATGCCTGGTAGAGAAGCAATAACTAAATAAATAATGAATAATTTGCTGCTCTGTTCAAGAAGGATATCTCATTGACTAATTATAAGGTGGGCATTGTCTAGAGCCATCTTAGCTTTAGGTTCAAGCACTAAGGAATTTACATTTGGCTAAGATATGATGCTGTTTGTTCATGAAAATATGACCCCATAGCTTAACAGAAAAGTCCTGGCTGTATCACCTGGAGTGGTTTTGTTTAAAGAGAAAAAGAGAGATTTGATAACATCTGAATAGAAAACCAAGATCTTAATTATTCACCAGTACTTCATTCTTGGCAGAAGGAAAATAAGTGAAATTTGATTTCCTTGATTTTTTTTTTAAATTATGACAACATAAATCTATTTTTCATCACAGGAAAATAGCAGAGTAGTTACCCCCACTTATGTTTCCATTTTTATCTAGGAAAAGAATAAGCCCATACTAACTCAACATCTATGTATTTGATTATTGTTTCCTATCAGACAGTCTTATGAGTCCAGTCTCCTAGATTGGCTATGCTTCAACCAAAAAATAAAAAAAACCAAAACTGCTCACTAGTGTCATCTACACCAAATTGCAGGCAATGCAAAGCTCCATGTTGGCTAATCCCTAGATGTTGATAAAGTTGATAAGAACTATCTGGTTTAATCACTTACTACTGACAAAGAATAAAGATGGTGAGGAATGAGATCATGTTTAAATCCAAAATTCTAGCACAGGGACAGGAGGTGTTTTAGACTTTGTGTAGTCATTTGGAGGTATCTGCCAGAACAAGTGTATCCACCACAAACAAAAATTAAAATCAAAACTAAGAAATCTCTCACATACTATATACACTGGAAAGGGTTTTTTTTTAAAAAAAAAAAAACTCTAGTGTTTTATGAGGAACAACTATGGAAAGAGTTCATGCATACAGGGTGGTAAAAGTCCAGTGTTTTTCAATCTTGGCAACTTTAAGACTTCAACTCTTAGAACTCTTCAGCCAGTATGAAGTTGAAGAGCACATGTCTTAAAGTTGCCAAGTTTGAAAAACACTGGTCTAGAAAAAAATAATACAAATAAATGTTCATGTGTTCATTTGTAAGGAAACACCACTGAATTCAAGAAGATTGGCTTCTAAGGTCTTTTTCCTCATCTTTCCACTCAAACGCATAGTTTCTGGAACAATGCTGCTAAGAAAAAGAATATGTTTGTTTGTTAGATTTTTATCCTATTATTTTTTAAATAACTCCAAGTAGAAATATACTTAATACTCCTTTCACTTTCAATTTTCCCCAACAACAACCATTGTATGAGATGGGTTGGGCTGAGAGAGAGTAACTGGTACAACTTCTCTTCATGCCTAAGGCAGACTTAGAACTCAGGGTCTCTTGGCTTCTAGGCCAGCACTTTAATCACTACACCAAACTGGCTGGATTATATTAAAACTTAATATAATCTGAGAAAAGAGTATCCTGAACAGGGGATTCTTGACTGTTCTATTTTTGGAAAATCACATAATTGTTAGTTGTTAGTTTTTATACTCTGTCCTGTCCTACTTAGGTTCAGACCTCACATTAAGCTATGATTTGTTTAATAAACCATAGTCATCTGGTATATTTGTAAACAACAACAGGTATCCTTAGGTTACAGTAGCAATTGGGAATGAGATTTCCATAGCTGAACAACATGGTCGTAAAGTGTGATATTACATGAACACATTGCTTCGCAACAGCAATACCAGAAGTCTTGTTTCTGTCATTAAGTGAGGACCTCACAGGTTCATTTAATATTGGTATACCTAGGCTTGTTTAGATGAACATGGATTCGAGTTTGAGCAACAGCATGTCTCCAAATGACCCGAAATAGAAGAGAGTTCCTTACTTGGAAATCTGCAGGGCAGAGTTTAGAATTCACTAGGAAATAAGATGAAATAAACCCATCTATAACCGAGGCCTGATTAATGGTTTTTTCTTTAATATCCTTGGAAATATATAAGTGAGTTAGGAGGCTGAGCTGTGTGGGTAGCAACTTATCTAAAACCCAAATCTGGCACATTGGGGGAAAAAACACCAACCAACAGATGAGAGAAAGGAATACAGATAAATGAGCCAGTTCAGATGATAGTTTCAGAATGAAATCTCCATCCCATCCTTTAAACTTACACTAGCATTGAAGGAAGTCTAGCTGCAGCAAAATGGATCCCAGGAGAGAAAGCAATAAAGGAGATCAGTCATTCTAGACTCTAGAGGACCAAAAAAAGAGGATTAGGGGGAGAATTGATTTCAAAGATTTGACTTTGCAGTGACTTTGCTTAAATCCTTTAGTGGAAAGCAGGTGTTCTGGTGCTTGGGGTGTTTGCTGACTAATCCAAAACAACATCAAAAGCCATCTAGGGAGTGTGACAAAGAAGTGTGGCAGCTTGAGGCATCATTCCCACAATTTTTTTTAATGAGGGTACTTTTAATTTGTCCTCATCTTCCTTTGCAGAGAGATAGATCGAAAACGGCCTTCTCCAATGTGAAATCTTCCCCATCTACTGATCCTGCAACTGTTTGGAATTTTTTTGGCTGGCATAAACACATTGTAAAGAGTGCAAGACTGAAAACAATTGAATAAAACCTCACTCGGTTTTGCCAAAAACATCGGGGTTTCTACATAGAGAACCAGTTTGGTCT